TCGTAAGACTATTCCCTCTTTGATTAGCCGTCGTTGGCTAAATCACCAAGTTAAATCAGTGAATGATTAGGCCTTTTTCGTCAATTTGTCTTGCTCTAGCCGACATTTCACGGATCGCTGGCTTGAAAAAGGCCAAATCATCTTTCGTCGAGTACCCTCCCTCCAGCTTATGTGCTCATCCAACCAGGTAGTCGACCTAAGGATCCTCCTCTTGCATTCATTCGAGCAATAGGTCTACATATCGAGCTTCACAATATTATCATGGACAAGCACGACATGGCCTTACAATATTCTTCCCTAGAAGTCACATCCAAATTCGAGCCTAAGACTTATGTCCACGTCATGTCTTCCAAAAACAATTTAGAAATCAACCCCTTCGAGGCACTCTAGAAAATGTAGTAATAGTTCTAGTTCTGAAAAAGCATCACAATCCTATGTCAAATAAACTATCAACTTGTTAGCACACCATGGCATCTTTTCCTAGCTTTTAGTGTACAAAGCAATAAATTAAATCATTGGATAGTTGACTCCGTAGCCTCAGATCATATGGCAAGTGACATCAACATCTTCAAAAACTACAACTCATGTATCAGTCACTACGCAGTTCAAATATCTGATGATTCATTCTCACCGGTAGTAGGAATTGGATCAATTGAATTAACAAAGGAACTTCACATCTACTCTGTTTTTTATGTTCCAAAATTTAGTTGCAACCTACTCTCAATCAACATCATGACCTAAAACGTGTAACTAAATTTTATTAAAAGTGTTGTGATTTTCAAGTTGTAAATTCGAAGAAGTTGATTGGCAATGTGAGATGTATGATCGTCTACACTTGCTCAAAAAAAATAATTTAATTAGTAGAAAATGTCATCCATTAAGTTTTATTGCTCAGTCCAATACAAATTTTGTGTTAGTTAAATGTCAAATCATGTTGAGTTGTTGTGGTCTTGAACATCCAAATTTTGCATACATGAAGATGTTTTAACGTTTTTTATCACTAAAAAATCTAATTTTTATCGGTGTGAAACTTGTCAACTTGCAAAATATATCACACAAGTATATTCCAAATAGTAACACAAGCCTTCACATCCATTTTTTTGTAATTCGCAGTAATATATGGGGACCCTCACAAGTAAATAATATACATAGAGCATGATAATTTATATCATTCATATATGACCACACAATAACAACATTGACATTCCTTTTGAAAGAAAAAACTGAAACAAACACCTTTTTCAATTTTTTTCATTTCATGATTATCACTCAATTCCAAAGCAAAATTCAAATTTTTAAAACTAATAATGCTGAGGAATATTTTAATTTTATTCTTAGCCCTTATCTTTCCAAGCATGGTATTAGCAAGTTTTTTTTGTGGATACTCCTCAATAAAATGGGGGCTCGAAAAATAAATAGACACTTACATGAGGTGGCCCATGTCATTATATTATTTAATCATGTGTCTAAACATTTTCGAGGGAACGTCATTCTTATAGCCACATACCTCACCAATAGGATGCTTAGCCGAGTCTTAAATTTTCAAATTTCCCATAATATTTTCATAGAATTATATCCACACATGTACTCCTTTTCTGCTGACTTATTATTGAAGAGTTTTTTTTGTTCTACCTTTGTTCACATCCATCAGCAACACTGCACCAAACTTAATCCCAAATCTCTCAGATGTATTTTCCTCAATTACTCATCCAATCAAAAAGGGTACAAATATTGCTCTAACTAAAATAAAAATATACAACTTCATGTATGTCACATTCTTCAAGAATCAATCCTATTTTCTCAAATCTAAAATTTGGAGGAAATCTAAGGAACATCAGATTTGAGAATTTTTCTATGATACTCTGGCCAACTTTCCTTTAACTGAATCAAATAATGTCCCATCAACAAGCTTCACTTGTCTCTACTCCACCTCAACCAACTTCACTTGAAAAATCAAGCTCTATCACAGAAAAAAATCTCAATTGCCTCTACTCACCTAAACATAACATCAATGATCCGGAATTTCATATCTACACCAGAAGAAGAACCACTTCGCATGTAGAGGACACTATGTAGACTTGGGTCAATCAAGAGCCAGAACAAAGTCCTCCTACATAGATGGTTGATAACTTGAATCAACGAATTACACACAGGAAAGGTCATCAAATTGAAAGATATGTAGCCTATGTGAAGTTGCTACCTTCATACAGGGCTTTTGTGTCAAACCTTGATAATGTGCAGATTCCTAACTCTATCCAAGAGGCTCTAATAAAAATTCATGGAAACAGACAGTTGAGAAAGAATTTGGGCTTTAGAAAAGAATAACTCATGGGAGCTTACAGAGTTACCACATCGAAAAAATCATGTAGGCTGCCAGACTAGTTGTCAAGGGTTTCACGCAGTCATAAAAGATTAACTATCAAGAAACATTTGCACCTATTGTCGAACAAATATGGTTCAGGTTTTGCTCTCTCTTACAGTAGATCAAATTAGCATTTCTACCAACTTGATGTCAAAAATGACTTCCTGAATGGCAACCTTGATGAAGTCTACATGATTATAACTCTAAGCTTGGAAAATAGGTCAAACAACAGGTTGGTTTGTAAGTTGAAGAAGTGCCTATACGGCTTGAAGCAATCTCATCATACTTTGTTTTACGGGTTTGCTAAAATAGTAATTACGAACGGATATGATCAATGTCAAGTTAATCATACTATGCATGTTCAATCCAATTCTAGAGACAATTATTATTCTTATAGTATATGTAGGTATTAACTTAACATGTGATGATTCAAATGAAATTATAAAACTAAAAGGAATGTTTGCAACATAATTTGAGATCAAGGACATCAAGAATTTTCGATATTTTTTGTGAATGGAGGTGGCTCGGTTTAAGGAGAGAATTGTCATATCCAAAAAGAAGTACATTTTAGACATATTAAGTGAAACTGGCATGCTTGGGTGTAAACCTATAAATTCCAACAAAAGACTAAACATAAGTGAAGAAAGCAGTCCAGTTGACAAAAAAAGATATTAAAGATTTGTGAGAAAACTACTTTACTATCACATATAAAACCTAATATTGCATACACAATCAGTGTAGTAAGCAAGCACATGAATAACTCAAATGAATATCATTTGGAAGTAGTGAACAAAATTCTAAGATACTTGAAGATGTCCCCTGGATATGGTTTAATTTTCAAAAGATCTAAAAATTATGAGAATATACACAGAAGCTAGTTGGCAGGAGAAATAATTGATAGAAAATAAACCACTAGATATTGCTCATATGTTTGGGGCAATCACATCACATGAAGAAAAAAAAAACAAGTTGTTGTCTCATCAGAGTATTGTGCTCTAGATTCAAAGTTTATTAAGGGAACTCAAGGATGATGTGAAAGACATAATTAAAATATTCAATGATAGCCAAACAATTATTAGTATAGCCAAAAATTATATGCATCATGACAAAACAAAGCACATCAAGATTGATCGACACTTCATCTCAGAAAATGTTAATAATGGAATTATTCAGCTCAGATTTGTTCCTACATGACTTCAGACTGCTGATATTTTTACCAAAAAACTACAAAGGGTAAATCAAGGTAAATTAAACTCAGTTTGCTTTGTATAATATATACAACCCAACTTGAGGTGAAGTATTGAAAAGTGTCAATCTGCATTATAAATGAATCCTTGGAATATATTTCATTGATTGTATTACTATTGTTAGATATTTTCGTTTTATATTTTTTTCTTACTTTGGAGTGATTCTTATTTTGTTTCATTTCATTAGTATGTATATGTAGTAAGGTGTAATGCATTGAAGCTAGCGAGAAATAAAATTCTTTCCAAAATTTTATAATTCTATCAGGGAAAACTTTGGAAACATGTATGTATTTTAGAGTTATACGAAATAGACATGAGCATAGATTTTACAGTGGAGTTACCTCAGACACAGACAATGATTTTATTATAGTGATCATAGATCGATTCTAGAAGCTTCCAAAAAAGAAGGTGAAGCATCTCCAACCTGGGAAAAATAACGTGAGAAGTGTGTGGGGTAACAAGAAACCGAGTTCAAAGCAAATGAGATGCGAGACTCTGTGTTTTCCTAAAATTATGGGTGAACCAAACACAAGCATGTCCTATTTCAAATTTTGCAGATTTTTTATCTTTTCTAACTTTCTCTTCCTATTTTGTTATTTTTAATTAAGATTCTTGCTATTAGGAACTTATGTATGAGTTTTTGCTATTTTTGGGAGATTAGCTATTGTGTTTGTGTTTTGAGACTTTATTCTTTGTTTTATGCTCTATAGAGTGTCGTATCTTCTTCCTTTTGTAAGTGTTTGTGTATGTATCTTGCTCGGGAACTGGTGGTAGATTCCCCTTGTCATCGCCCTTCACCGTTTTCATTGTTATGCTATTATGCCAATTTTTTCAATCTAGACAGCAAACAAACCGCTTGAATATGCTGTCCAACAACAAATTTAGTCACTTACCCCCCTTACAAACAGTCGACCAGCCCTATCATCTCTCTCCATTCCAGAACTATCTCCCCGCAACAATCGCTTCCTAAACACCTTCTAAGAGCATGGAATGATATCACTTCATGAGTAAAATTAGTTCATACTTAATAAATAACTTGTTAATGACTCATTTAAGCACTCATTTAATGCATATTTAATAACATATTTATAATATTATTTTAAGTTGTTATTTTTTTAGAATAACTCTTAGTTTCTATATCTTGTGTCTAAGGCAAATAAACCGCAAGCATAAAATTACAACTGTAAAAGTATTTTATAGCCATTGCATACCACGAAAAAGGTAGTTACAATATAAAGTTAATATCATGTTCTTTGTTTTTTGTAAGGTTACCTAGCAGATATGGTAGAAAATACTCGCATGATAAGATGGCAATGAAAGATCACTATTTCAGTATACCGCATGATGGAATAGTTTGCTTGAAAAACACGATAGGTAAAAAAATAAAGTACCTGATGATGGTACCCTGTTGCCACTTTCTCCCAGGTGTCTTCCTCCCTTTCCAGATGTCCAACCAGTGGGAGAGAAAGCAATTATGAGATTGTAGCGATCCTAATTAAGCAACAAATATGTGAGATAAGTAAATTTCAACAATCATGCATTGTTTCCAATCGAAAAAAAAATGCAAAAAAAATATATGTATATTTACATACATACTGCACAATTCTTTTGTACTTACATAACTGACACCAAAAGTTGCCTCCGTGTTATATATATATATAAGAATTATGTGGTACGTACAAAACCAATGATCCTAAGACTAATAATATAGCTTACCGAATACTGGTTAGATATGTATTTCATTCGTTTAAAGCTTGCTATGGTCCACATTGGCACAACATGGATGTTGCTTTCCATCTCATTTGCTGTGAACAGCTGCATGTCCTCCTCAGGCAAACCCAAACACTGAAGTAAATGTAACTTTCCAGCCCCAACATATAATTTCCTTCTGAGTGTTCTTGCAACCTCCATGAACAACTTCTCTTTTCCTATGTTCAATAAGGGCCAGGTTAAAATGGAAAACAAGAATATTTAAATACCTTCGCCTTATAAAGTCAGTAATTGATTTTGAAGTTGCATTTCCCACATCTTAAACTTAAAAAATTATGGATTTTACTTTAAGAAGGTTGCTTCATTGCATGCCAGGAAGTAACACGTTTTTATCTTCGAGCCATTTGGTTATCGTAGAAATTTTACCAGGATAAATGTTAGTTATTATGTGATGAAAATTTGTTCCTTTCCAAGCAAAGTTTTATCCTATAATACTCAAGTATTGAATGTAATTTGTCAAGAAAAGCTTATCAAATGGCTAGACATCTATATTTGTTATGTTTAAATGGAAAACAGGGATAAGCTTTGTTATTGATGCACGGACTAGGAATGTATTTGCCCCAAATGGCTATACATCTATCTTTGTTATGTTTAAATGAAAATGTTTAAATGAAAAACAGGGATAAGCTTTGTCATTGATGCACGGACTTGGAATGTATTTACCCCAAAGTTGAGGTTACTGTATATTTTTTTTCTCATTTTCTACTTTCAACAAGCAAAATAATAGAATACTTTTTCCTTGGTAATACTACTACAACCATCATCCATTTTTCTTTTTCTTTTTTTTTTCTTTTTTTTTGAGTCGTCTAAACATTCAGTAATTTCGCCAAGTTTTTTTCCTCCTGGACAGAAATGACATGTCTTCTATTATAATTTTATTTTACTCTGGGGAATGAGAATATCAGTAACTTAGAAACATATTTAAAAGTGTAAATATAATCAAATGTAATGGACAAACAATGATAACATTTTTAAGAATTAGCACATACGATGATCAGATTTTTATAATTATGATACTCGATAGCCTAATATTTATCCATCCAGATTTGTTTCCTTCTAAATTCCATTCATAATTTACCTATCTATTTTTGTCTGCTATTTGCTATTAAAAGCTAAACTCTTGGATGTGTGAATCAAAGAGTTTGATCAAAGTGGCTTACGAGGGTCAAGAACTGAATAAAAAATGTCTTACATAAATTCAATATAACTTCTACAAATTTATTTAGATTAAAAATTGGCACTTGGTGTGTCAATTTCAATTAAATGAAAATATTTCATCCACTTGTTGCTCCAGCTCTTTATTCGCAAAAATCATTGGTCTTCATCTAAACTATAAAATGTAATGAACTTCCATACCGTTACTGTGAAATGTATATAATACCGGTAAATTTGCACATGCCCTTGGTGCACAAACTTAACATGCTAAACAATGTTTAATTTCATTACAAATATCTGCAAGTTCAGATATAAATTTACCAATCGTATAGGTGCCAATGAAAAAAAGCGTTTTTGGGTTGAAAGCTTCAGCTTGGATGGCATCAATAACAAACTGAATCACTTCCTCTTGTTTTGGGAAGTCATACTGCATAAACCTATGGTATATTATATACATGAAAAAAATGAAACTAAAAGAAGGAAAACTATTGATTTCAATAACAAACTTGAGGATTGCAATAAGTCGTGTCCAATATAAGAGTGTGGATATAGGATGACTGCAAAATAGTAGAGCCTGCCATCTCTGAAGAAAATCTAAAATCCCCAGTGTGCAGGACTGCCTGAATAAGGAAATGTCATGACAATCTGTTGATATAACAATGAAAATCAAAATAGCTAACTAAACCGCAAAAGGAAACAAACCTTATTATTGGATGGTTCAAAAAGAATAATTATAGACCCAGGGCAGTGGTTAGCATCTAAACAGGTCAAAGTCACACCAGCAATGGTAATTTTTTTGTTTAAAGGCAAAATTTCAATTCTATCCCATGGAACACCAATCTTCATATTTACTAGTTGTGCTGTAATTTTAGAGCAATAAACCTTCCCATGGCAAAAGTTCTTTGTGAGACCCTGATAATCTGAATAAGTTAATGGCAGAAAAATCAGATAAGTTTAAAAAAAGCAAGACTTAAATCAGGAAAGCCAGCGATCCTTCCCTCCGGAATAGATCTCAGCATAAGCACGATTTTAGCTCAGCCACAATAAGGTTCATGAATTTCAGAAGTTTAATGACAGTTAGCCGACCAGCATATAAAATTTGCACCAAGAATCTGCTGAGGGATAAACTTCAAAAAAAAAAGAAAAAACTTAACTTTTAAAGTACTTTTGTAAAACAGAGAAATGCACTAATACAACTTGTTGAAGTACAAACTTTATACAGCCTAGAAACAATAAAAATGGTCCATTTCTTTTTCACCTAAACTACTGATTAGATCAACTGAGCTACATCACATTATACATGTCTCTAACTCAAAAAGCTACTAAAATACTCCCCAGTTGCACTTTATGCTACAAAAGTGAGTCATTTAATATAAATCCCATGGTTGCTATCTCATCTGTCTTCCATGTGTCAATATAGCTTTGTCATTCATAACGCCTAGATTTCTTCCTTTGATGGCAACGTCATATAGATTAATCCTTCAGCTATAACAAGCTAGCTATAAAATTTGATGATATTATTTTATGTTGGTGCCTTTCAGCTATAACAAGCTAGCTATAAAATTTGATGATCATTATTTTATGTTGGTGCCTAGCCTAAGAGTAATTTTATTTTTTGTGCCTAAAGACAAGTTAGTCTTTTATAATTTAATATTCTTTAGTATAAATAGATGCTTTGTTGTAAGTCTTAAATTTAGGATTTGGGTGTGATTTCCTCTCTCTCGAATTTTAACAGTTTTGTAAATGCAGGAGGTGGAACGAAGAATCGGGGAAGATGAAACAAAGGGTCGGACAGTTAAACAGAAATGATAGGAAGTGAGGAGTCGGAAAGAGGAAATGAGCAGTAGAAAAGCCGAAGAGAGGAATTTGTCCTATTAACTGCATATCAGATGGGAAGGCAACCAGAGAGCAGAGGAGGGTGAAGGAGTAGCGTAGCCGAAGAAGCGACGAGTGTGTTAGGGCAGAGGCGGCATCTCCGTCGAGGAAGAAGTCGGCGGCGTCGCTGCATGCGATTGGAAATTGATAAATAAGTACTTACTGTTGTTAAAACTAGATGATGGAAAGAGATGAACTAAAAATAATACATAAAAAATAGAGTTAATATTCGAAATGGCAATTAACAACATGAGTAGAATAGGCTTCATACAGCCAACCCCAATGATTGGGATAAAGGTTAATGACGATGAAGGCTGATGATGATAGAACAAAGTGAAGATTTGGAAATTTAGTAACAAAAAGAACTATCGAAGGATAAATATTCAGGGTTTGAAAAACTGCTGTTATGATTGCTAAAAAGATGAATTAAATTCACAAAGTGGATAAAACAAAATAGGGCAATGTTGCAAGACGAGATAAAACAGCGTAAAAGTTGCCAAAACATGGAGTAGGACAAATGTAAAAACAATACTAATACAAACTTACGGTCCATATGGAAGTGTGTTAAAAACCAGTGAGAACAATCTCCTCTTAAGTAACGAAATGCATCCTGCAAATAAGAAGCGTCCAAATAAAAAATAAGTATTTACAAGATCAATCAAATACAAAACTCAAAAGAAATAATCATATTGCCAAGGGCCTGAGATCAATTCCAAGATACAATGAAAATAGGTACTACTAAGCTTAAAATTCAGTGGTAAAAATGATTTGGAGGCGGATATGGTGAGGAGAATGATACCATAAATGACAAAAGTTGTAATGCATGCTCAAATGATCAAAATCACATAACAAAGTGTAAAATGAGAATTCAGCCATTTAGCAAGGTAAACTAAACATTCTTCTGTCAGATAAAGCCACATGAAGCAAACAATGAAACGAATTAAAAAAAAAAAAAGGCAAAGAATTGCTATCCGAGATTGACAAATAAAATGTCAATGAAATTTGACTATATATGCCCCATAACAAGAGAAATTGGAAAAATATATTTGTTGCTTGTTTTTGAAAAAGATATGCACAAAAGTTCATTTTGAATAAAAATAATCCGAATCCTTCTATGCCTGCGCTATAGAAAGAACAACATTTGTATTTCCATACTTTAGCTTTTTTTATTCTTGTTGTCAATATTTAGTGATATAAAATTTGTCGCGTAAAAGATAAGACGCTAGTGCCAATGGAGTTCAACATTTTTTGTATTCATTGGTAACTTCAAGAGAAAAGGATATTAATTTGTTAATATTTCTATCATATTTCAATTATATCATTTTGACTAGCTTTAATATCAAAAACTGTGATTCGAACATTGTTAGAACATGTGGTATGACCTTCAGATCATGATCAAGCATTGTTCGAGTATAATTAAACATTATTCAAAGCATATTTTCTTAATACTGTTTGAACATGTCATAACAATATTTGAATCTTATTCATGCAATATAAAAATATTATGCAAACATGTTCAAACAAATGTTCAAACCTTATTTAAACCGCGTTTTTTTGGTCATGTTCAAACATGATGCGAACCATGAGCGTACAGCATGATTTGAACATATTTGAACAATTGTTCAATCCAAGTTCAGACACAATTAAAACAAAATTGAGCATAATTCAAATAGGTTAGAGCAAGTCTCAATTTTTGGCTCATACATGGTTCCAACATTTGTTCTTGCAACAGTGACATTATACGCTAACCAATTATATTTTAAAGGTATACAAAGAATCAATACAATTTTACTATATAGAAAGTGTTAAAGATTGATAAAAGTCAATATAATATGAAACGGAAGGCGATGTACAACTTTGTGGGAGCACAATCAACAATTTCAATTACTCCACTAAAAAATTAGAGAACTGTTGAATGCATAAATTATATACAGAAAAGTACAAAAAGTGTAATAAATAATAATTTGAAATGAGAGGTTAAATGCATCACTCGAAATGGTGTTCCTGATATACACGTTGGATACATAAATGATATACTGAAAAGTACAAAAAGTGGAATAAATAATAATTTGAAATGAGAGGCTAAATACGCACCACTCGAAATGGTGTTCCTGATATGCAACACCAAGGAGGTGTTTCTCTTGCTCTACCGCGATTGACTCTCTTTCTAGTACCAACCATCTTCTGAGATGAACCCTTTCGAGTTTGTTCAGCATTGTCAACTGATCTAAAAGGATTGCCAACTCTTGCTTTACATGACTTTGGTCCATGAAAGTATTCTGTGATCAACTTGTTTCCCAGTAAACCTAAATTTTTCTTTTCATTCGGTGTTGCGTAAGTGACATTTTCTCCATCTTGAGAAAGACAATTTCTTTGACGAATAACATTAAGAGCATGGACAATTTTTTTTCTAGGCCCCAAAGCAACAACACCAATACTGATAAGATCCTTAGAGTATAAAAAGGAAATAACATGAGTTAGCGTACATATTAATATCAAAATATTTTTATAACAAAATAAAACATCACAATTGTGACAACTATGAAGGAATTACATTTGGGAGTTATATAATGGAAGCTTGGTGAGAGTAATAGAATATAGACTATAAGAAATTGCGTCATTATTGAAGAATCAATATAATTTCAAGCCAGAAGGATTCATCACCAAAACAAATTTTAATTCTGAGATGAGTAATGAAAAAACGCAGATAATAAATAGAGAGAAGAATTTTCAATGAGTATTCAAAATGACAGCATCGTATTAAGGCTGAGCATTTAACTATTCTTAGATGTATTTGCAAAATGACCAAAAAATCTTCATTTGCAATGGAATTACATAAATATTACTATTAGGTATGTTTGGTTATATTATTTATCAAGATACTTAAAAGAAATATTCAAAATAAGGTGTGTTAATATATGTTATTAGAATATAATATGACTCCAATCAGTGAGTGATACCGGAGTTAACCCAAATCACATTAGAAAAAGAGAAAAAAATTATTACTGGAAGCAAATAGATGGTTATAATCAACACACTAGAAAGGAAAAATACAACACAATCGACACAAAACTCGCATTAGGGTGGATCACTGATGATGGTGGTGACGAATAGGGGGCTCGGAGAAGTGGCGGCAAGGTAGGAAGGGGGTTTCCGGACTGTGGATGAGGGGTGGCAGCGGTTAGGAGCAACTGGAACTGCAGGACAGAACGGGGCGGCACTCCAAACAGCAGCAGGGGTGGCTGGACAGCAGGAAAAACAATAGGAAGGCATCGCGTGCTGCGGCAAAAAAGGTGGAGGGCTGGGACAGCAAGCGCAGTGAAGACAAGGGAGGAGAAAGCACTGGAGGCGGCTGGAACTGCAGAAATCAGCAATCGGGAAGTTGTTGTGGGTGGCTGCAGCGAGGTACGGCGGCAGGGAGCAATGTGGAAAAAAGTGGAAGGAGATAGGAGGAAGATAAGCACCACCTTGGGAGAGAGATACAGTTGGAGCACCACCAAATCCCTCGAATACAGCCCTCAAAAAGAAGAACGGACGTTGGCAGCTGTCCAAACAGAATCTAAAATAGAACTCGCCAAAACCTAAACTTAAGACAGCAAACAACATATTTATAATAAGTACAAGTAGTTAGAATAGGAAGGATCTAGAATAGGAAAGAAATAGAAAATGTAAGGGATCAAATAGGAAATTGGTCAGCACTACTGTAGCTGCCACAGTACTGCGACGGTAAGCTCCCGCGATATCTCTTGAGGTTGGGGGAGCATTGACTTCATTTGCTTCTGATTCTTTGTAGCACGGAGTCAAGTTTACCCATTGATGGTAGCAGAGAAATTGCAATCCCTTAAGAGGTAAATCATGTAGGCGTTGTCATTATACAACACAATCTGGTAAAATAGGTATCCGTCCTCTTTTGGCACAACCATAGTTGGCACTGTAGATAGACTAGTATCCTGCTTCGTTCACTTCTCATTCTAGGCGGAATGTAGCTGATAAACCAATATGTGAGAAGAAATAAACTCAGAGGTGAAATCTGTGACAAGGTGCACCACTATCACTATCAGCCACTCAGAAGAGCCCTCCTCTTCTTCACTGATAGGACTTGGATCTCGGTGAATAATTTTCATCTCCATCAAGCTCCTAAGATAAATGTCCAGGATGGGTTCATTCCTCCTGTCTTGACATCTGATGATGGGTGCTATATTGAACAAAATCTAACATCTGAATCACTCCCTGTAATATTCCCGATGTGACACAAAAGGGCCTCATCTCTGACATGTGGAACTTCCCTCAGTAGGAGCAACTCAGGAACGAGTCTATGGATCTGAAATGTCTGAATTTCTCTTATTTTGGGTTGTCTTGTGTCTGATATCGGCTCCCCAAACTCATGGCTCATTTGGACATCCAATGACAGTCCTGTTGATACTCCTCTCAATGCCTGCAAAATGCTAGCTTGAGGCACCATAATCTCATACTCTGTCGGAATGCACATTGCAGCAGAGTCATTATCTTCTAGGATAGCTATTGTTACCTTAGCTCGAATCTATATCTTGAGGTCAACTGAAATCGATGGTGTCTCTTTTTCGTTGGTTGAAAGTTGAGAATCCTCTATGAAGTTTGCATCTTCTTCCAGATCACCATTTTTCTCTTCAACTGTAAACTAGTCCACCAGCTTTGTGCCATCATCATTTTCAGTGTTTGCTATGTCATTACCCAATTTTTCAAGAATGCCCTGCACCTTGAAACAGATCACCCCCTAGTTTTGCAGTCTGATTCAACATGCCTAAATCCGTGCCACTTGCAACACTTCCTGACTGGGACAAATTTAGAGATGCAGATTGGTTTCAACTATTCTCTACTCTGACTCATTTTTTTCCTTTGATAGGGTAAGCTTGGATATTTTCCAGTGTAATTTGGCTATAAGATGAGGTTAAGTGTTGCATGTAAGATGGTTGGTCGCTAGATGATGTGGTCTCTTCACTTCTGAAACTAGAGGCTGAATCTTCTATCTATAATAAGCAAGTATGAATTGGTATTGGATCTCGTGCTTCATCTTCAGATTCTCCCATTCTCCATATGCTAACTCTTCTCTCAGCCTCCTCTGATACTGAATTTCAAAGCATGTGGCGGGTCTTTCACATCTGCAAATTCCGCCCTATTAACAGATTCAGATCCTCATCTCTTGCTCCCATTCGATTCTCCAAATCCAGGTCGAGAGCAATCTTCCACCGGGTTTCATTCTCAATCCACGAGCCTCCACTGAAGTCGGTGGATCTCTCGTTGTATCTCCTCTCAAGTAGGCTCGGGCATGTACCTCCTTGGTGGCATGGCTAGGTTTTAGGGTTGGAGGTGAAAGAAGCTATAGGAAAACTAATTTGGGGTTGCTGATTTTAAAAATCAACAAGAAAAAATTAGGGTTAGTCAAAATTTGGCTAGGGTTTGGGAATAGAAAAGAAAAATTTTGGTGGAGGTGAATTGGTAAGAGTGTATGCTAAGAAACCCTAAGATAAAACTAGAGTTAAGCTAGCTCTGTACCAAATAATACCGGAGTTAACTAAAACGCATTAGGAAAAGTAAATATTATTATCGGAAGCAAATAGATAGTTACAATGAACACACTTGAAAGGGAAAATACAAGACGACACACAACTCGTGTTAGGGTGGATTCTAGATGATGGTTATGACAAGTTAGCGGGCTTGGAGAGATGGCGGCAAGGTAGGGAATGTTTTCGGAGCGTGGATGAGGGGTGATAGCAGTTAGGGGCAGCTGGAACAGCAAAATAACACGGGGTGGCTATCCAAACAGCAACAGGTTGTTTCGGGCGGCTGGACAACAGAAAAACAACAAAGAGAAGATATCGTGTGTTGCGGCAGCGAAGGTGGAGGACTTGGACAATGAGGGCGGCGAGGACGAGGGAGCAGAAAATGTTGGCGGTGGCTGGAACTACAAAAAATAGAGGCGGTTGTTGCGAGGTACGACATCAAGGAGCAATGTGAAAAAATGCAGAAGGGGATAGGAGGAAGATAAAACAACACATCGGGAGAGAGATACAGTTGGAGCACCAAAAAAATCTGAAATAAAACTCACCAAAATCTAACTCTAAGACAACAAACAACATATTTATAATAAGTAGTAGTAGTTAGAAAATGAAGGAAATAGAAAAGGTAAGGGATCAAATAGGAAATTGGTCCACAATACTGTAACTGCTTCACTACTGCAACGGTGAGCTCCCGCATTATTGAGACATCCAATAAAATAAGTACAAAATTTATATTTATATATATAGACGAAAATTTTAATGCTAAAATATTTAATGAAAAAATATAAATAGCAAACAGAAAAAAGAATTTTCAAAGAATATTGAAAATGATAAGATGTTATCAAGTATTATAGACCATTAAACAATAGATCCAACTATAATGTGATTACATCAACAATCGGTATTAAGGGGGCTTTTTATTTTTATTATTTATCAATGTGCTCACATGAAACATTCAATTAAGGTGTCTTAATGTATGTTATTCATATAAGACATAATTCTAATCGTTCAGTCATTCAATAAAACAAGTAGAAAATCAAAATAATGGGAAAATGCTCCAGGAATAATAGGCTTAATATTGGTAATACGAATACTAAGTATATGTTACTGAATTTTCAGTGATATCAAGAATTATTTTTAGAAGCTAAAATGTTTTCTATGCATGTAGATTTAAGCTTGTTGAACTAATTATATAGAAAAACAGAACAGAATAGAATATAGCTTTTATATTAGGGAGGTGATGATTGTAGAAAAGTACCTCAAGATAAGGTAACCTAATAGAGACTTAAAGGTAACCTATAAAACTACAACTAGCGCAACTGTTATAAGAACTAGAAATTTAGAAGGTGAAAAATCCTGGTAGTTGTCATATGTGGAGCCTAATTGGGCTAGGAAAGGTGCCCAACACCAGAGAGACGTCTTGGAGCCCGGTAGCCGAAGCCCTGGTGCCTCAGGAAGCGTTCTAACTTCTGGCAACAGGAACCCATCACCAGTGGGGGCACCTAGGCACCCACGAACAGTGCGCTAGGAAACATGACGCCCGGGAAGGGCGTTGTTGCGTCGAAAATGTTCCATATAACAATGCACCTGGGGTCACGCCTAGGTGCCTATAACCGAATTTTTGCAATTCAAAACTTTATAATTCATCTTTTGTTACGAGAAGGTGTGTGCGAAGTGTCGGCGTTGAAGGAAGCATTTAACTATTTTTCTTATGCGAAAGAGAGAGAGGAAGAGCAACCCGAGTGTTCCAAGTTGTAGAAACTCTTAAGTGTGATGTAATCTGTACATTTCTTTATGGTAGATTTCTTGGTGTGGTGTGACTACGTGATTTTTTCCCGCTCTCGAGTTTTTACATATTAAATCTTAGTGTTCTTGTATCTTCTTATTTTGTGAGCTTTTTTCTAGGTTTTT